ATTCATAACTTAAGTTAGACTACTGTAATGAGTTACTAGGCGGTCGCCCTGCTGGCCTCACTAACAAACTGCAGCTGGTTCAAAATGCAGCTGCTAGAGTGCTTTCTAGAACTAAGAAATCACATTACTCCAGTTCTTTCATCAGTGCATTGACTCCCTATTAAATATTTAATTTACATTGTTATTGTTTATCTACAAAGACCTCAATGCCTTAGCTGCCCAGTTATTAAGGGAGCTCCTGGTGTATTATAGAGCATGAGATTGAGTCCTTTAAGACTCACTAGTGACCCACGAGTCTACGCATTGATCCTGAAGGGTCAGTCTGTACACCAGCCAGTGACCTCTCCCATCTGCAGCTTCTCCACAATGGATGTCCACCATTCTCCAGCCTCCAGTGCCTAGACTGCAGCTCTGTACAGGAAGTTTGGCCAGAGGAGAAATGCTTATGCCCAACTGAGCCTGGTTTGAGGTTATTTTTCCCCTTTACTTTGGTCGGTTGGCAAACTGGCTCGCTTGGTTTGGGGCTTGTGTAGTTGAGCATGAATGGATTTCTCATTGTTTGGACTTTCAGCAGTGTAATTAAACACCGAAATTAATCTCTGAAAACTGAGCTGATTTAAACCTCTCATACCTGATGTTAAAAAAGCATGCACATCCTCAAAGATCCTTAGCCCAAACAGTTATAATAGATAGAAGTTTGTATGAATGTTCAAGAATTGTTAATGTTAATGTGAATAAACCTCAAAGCAGCTGTCTGGCAAATTATATTGAGTTAAAGTTCTGGACCGATTTTAAACCAGTCATTAGAAATATCTCCCAAAGGGTTAACTTTTACATGAGACACTGCAAATGACATGGAGTACCGTCTGACAAATTTTGGAAATAGATGTTCAGTCTGCCATTGTGTAGTTGTAAACGTCTACAAGCATGCTCTGTGAAGAGAAAGAAACAATTCACAATAGAACCAAACTGTGATTTTCATTGCTAAAGTGAGAGCCTTAAAGTGAGGGCTTTTGTTTTTGAAAGGATTCTCACTACCAAAAGGAATTCTTGATACTTGATGTTTTCATTTAAATTTGAGATTTTTGAAAAGGAAACTGGAACTGGTAAAGTTGAAATATTTATAGGTGAAGAGGTTCCAATATTCCCATGAAATTGAGATTGTAAAAGTGAAGTGTGGTTACTTTCACTGAGAGGTTCTGGGGTTAGATGTTCTAGGAGTTACAGAAAATCATTTTTGAAACCAGCCATGTACACTACTGATGTTCTGGAGAAGGTATGTAGGGTTTCTCAAAAGTTTTGGGTCACAAGTTTTAGAAGAATAAATATTTTAAATCTTCCCAGGGAAATAATGGATCTTAAAGAGGGAAAATCTGGTCATTCTGAAAAGTTGTAAAGTTATAATTTGAGATTTGGTGTTTTAAAGTGTCCCTATGGAAGTACTAATCTTACTCAACCTTAATCCTAGTAAATTGTGGGGTTAGGAATCTTCAGTAGATCTCATGTTTGAATTGATGATTTTTGAAAAGTTCTCGAATGACTGGTGTAGGTGGTGTTGATGCACAATGTGCTGTTGTGTGGAGGTGCTAATCACCAGTAGAAGACTGGGCTTCATTTAAGGCCATTCACCCAAGGCCACCTTCCCTGCGTGCTGTCCAAGTGGACCCAGGGGGGCTGAATACTTACCACTCCCCCAAGTGACCTTTTGTTAACACCGCAAGGTTGCCCAGGCCACCCGAGAAGAGTCTGAAGGAGTCTCTGTTTGGGGCCTACTCTGGGTAGTCCAGAGACCAGGCTCCCAGGTCCTCAGATTTCTCCAAGAAACGTGAGAGCCCTTGCCCAAATCAGCTGAACCTAACACGTAGATTCAGGAGTAGAAGTTAGCCATGAACTGGTCATTGCCTTCTCCTTCCCCATGCTGATTTTCTCCAGGGTATCTCTAGTCAACATGCAAGAGGTTCTATATGGCCAAGATAGCCTTAGAACTATTCCTAAATGTGACAAGAGATATCCACAGAGATGTTCCTGACCTCCTACTCATTAAATAAAATGAAAATAATTTAGGAGGTCAGGTCGAGGTTCAATCTGGCGGATATATCTATGTAGATATATCATTCTTCTACCAAACATCTCCTCTAAGGCAATGCAAGAACCAATCCGACATCATCCTAATATAGGACAACCGTTGGGAGCATTACCCTGAAGAACAGAAGAGTTTGGCCGTTGACCAGGTGTTGAGACACAGCATTTCGGCAGTGGTGAGTGTTCTCATGACCATTTGTTTGTTTGTGTTTTTCTTTGTTCTTGTTTGCATATTTTCATTCAGAATTTGATTATCTGATGTCTAGATTGTTTTCCCATACTTTGATTATCATATTTAAGCTTATAAAGACCTTTAAAATCGTGTTTTATTAGAGAATAGACCATATGCAAATGACTCATTAGTATTCGTGGTTTTGCACCAATCACGTTTGTTCTCTGTTGAGTGTGCTTTAGGTCAGTTTAAATAACTTATATCTCTGTTGTTTCTTAATATTTTGTTTTCTTTGTTTCGGCATTTTAATCTGTATATTATGTAGAATAAGTATTGAACATAAAAACTGTCATTACTAATAAAAATGTTTTTATGGGGTTACCGTTTTTGAGAAGTATAGCTGATTTAGTGGGGTCTCTTACAATCGTCCCAAAGATCAAGAGATATGTATATTCTCTACTTGCTAATTGATTAGCAAATGTAAATCTTGTGGAGATGTCTGAAGTGATGTTGAAACCAACTTCTTAATCATCTAAATTGACATATAAGATACAATAGAGTGCACTTGTTATTGAAATAACCCAAGTAAACAAAATCTTATATAATAGTAAACTGATCTACACTGGGAGCTGATGCACCAAAATAAAACGTTAAATTAAGCTTTTGAAGTTAATTTATTAGGGAATAATTATCATTCAATTGTGTGGAAGCAGAATAAATTAAGTTGCTATGGAGGTTTATTCTCAGCAGCTAGCCTGAACTCCAGAGCAGATTAATAACCAGGCTAAGATTAATCTTAGTGATTTATTTGTTACTTTTATTGTCAGTGGTATTTGAAATTACAGTGTTTTACAGTCACTCCATGTTATTGGCTATTTACATACATTTTCCAACTATTAGCATTGAAAATAAGTGTTTAATTTAAGTAGCAAGCACTGATACATGTTCATATATATTCATTTCAGATTTAACTATGGGGAGAAAAGAGAGATAAACATACATATACAGTGCTCAGCATAAATGAGTACAGCCACTGTTAAACATGAATCCCAAACAGTTTTATTTAACACTTATATTCATTAAGTGTCTGTTTATAAAGATAAAATATTTAAATTCAAATAAGATATTGCAAAAAAAATGAAAATTACAAACTTAAAAAGGCGGTTTATTCCGCTGTGGCGACCCCAGATTAATAAAGGGAGTAAGCCGAAAATAAAATGAATAAATGAATGACAAACTACTAATGTCAACAATTTCACATTTTTTAGATTATATTAGGTTCATTTATTAAAATCATAAAATATTTTTATGATGAAACATCAAGAATTATATTTATTAGACTCAATTAGAAAGACAAAACATGAAAATGATGCATAAATGATCATACAGATGAAGATTAAATAAGCTTGATGAAATTAACTAAACAGATAAAGCAGATCTGCAATATTGGCGTTTGCAATAATCTTCATGATAAATTCATTAGCAGCAGGGATGTTCACTGGTTACATAAAAAAGCGAGTGATTCCAAGCGATGTGCATTTGGCATTTTACATAAACATATACAACATGTTGGCACTATATGGGGCATCTGCAGACTTGGATCCATGTCTATGTGATATGCTTTGATAAGAATGCAGAGGTATTGTTACAATAAATATTATGAAACAATAAGGGATAAACAATCTGATTGCATGTGCAATTCAGACTTCATTGGTAATATATAAAACGTACTGTATAGCTATATGAACAAAAATGAGCTGACCATT